AAAATCGACACCTATAATTGCTCGTAATTTTTTCACTTTTAATTCTACAGATTTTTATCATTAGGATTTTCGATAGAACTCCACGGAGGCTACTCAGAACTCTCAACAGAACTATCATTACTCTTTAAAAAATATTTTGTAAATGCAGATTTTCTAATTTTAAAGTACAAAAATTTTTTAAAGACTCTTGATAGTTCTGTTGAGAGTTCTGGGTAGTTTCCGCGGAGTTCTATTGAAAATCGTAATGACAAAAGTTCATAGAATTAAAATTGAAAAAGTTACGAGCGATTATAGGTGTTGATTTTCTAAGAGTGCATTCCGAGTTACGCATAAAGTGCATGATGCATTATTTATCCTTGTTGTTCTCCAAATAATAAAGAAGGATAAAACGATACATCATGCGCAACTTTATATGCAACTCGGAACGCACCCTAATTCTAAAGTACAAAAAATTTTTTGAAGGGTCCTGATAGTTTTGTCGAGAGTTCTGGGTAGTTCCCGCGGAGTTCAATAAAAAATCTTAATGAGAAAATTGGATTAAACTAATATTAAAGTTATACCTATTTGTTGGACCTATTTTGTATATTCAATCACATTTTTTTTATTTTCTTGAACAGAACTATCTCTAAAATACGTTAAGAACTCTGGAATTCTATTCGAAATCTATCCAGAACTCTAATGAAAAATGATTTTTTTCAAAAATGGGGAGCTGCGTGAAGTTAGCCCCCCGTGTCTTTAAATCGCATTTTCGTGCCTTTAATGACCGGAATTATTTCTTAAAACTATCAGGAATTGTGGAACTATCGAAAATCTATACAGAACTCTAAAAAAAAATTGAATTTTTTTAAAATGGGGGGCCAGCTTCGCAGGGATTTGTTGTTAGATAGAATTGGCGTATGAGATCTCTTTTCTATTTTCGTTATCGATATCAATAGCTTTGTCAAAAAGTGTTGATGCAGATATATGGAAAAATCTTGGGTTTAATTGTTCATACAGCGAAGCTGCGTCACAGATTTAGGGCACTTGGAGGTATTCTTACGTAATGACAATGCAACGCGACGCAACGTAACGTACCCGCGACCTTCATGCTCCTTTCCTACGGCTTCCTTCGCAGTGCTGTAGAAAAAATCTGTGAAAACCGAAATCGGCGCAAGAAATACATTACGCATCACGCGAAACCTGCAACTGTGTGAATTGAAATACTAGTATAATCGAGCGGTCAGCACTTCCACTAGAACGGCGATAATGTTTATAGAAAGTATGAATAGGTAGAAAGTATATCCAGCGGCGTTAGATCTATATCTATTAAGCTAGAATGCCAACATGAGTATAATAAAAATCACATAAGACGTACGCGGAGGATTTAGTGCTCTTTATGTTCTAATTAATTGCTCGTATTTTTGAACGCGTGCGGAACTCAATGTTAAGGCATGCAGTAACGTGTGTTGACGCACAAGGCGAACATTTCGAACACTTTCTTAATCATCCATAACTTGAAAACTAAGGTATGTAGGACATATGTCCATATATGACGGTTTTTACTTATTTTAGTGTTATATAGATTTACCTCCTAAAGTATTGACATATAATTATGAAATACTCTGTATTACGAGCACATAATTAGCCCTAAATTATAGTGTTAGTATTTTCATTTTTATTACCAAGTAATGACAGCTTTAATTCACTGTCAAAAATTACTCCTCGAAAAAAAACTAATGTACTAAATATGAAAAATTAAACTCAAATGCTACAGTATTAACTAATCAAGCTAAATTCTATTAAATTAAAAAGTAAAACCTACGTGATACTATCTTTGTCATTTACTTAACTCTAATGACATGTATCATTCATGTAAAAGATTTGATATCAGCAACCGACGCCAAGTTAAATCCCATACCAACCATATCAAATTAAGTAAAGAATACAATCCAAGTGATACTATCTTTCATTTTTATACAATGAAAGATAGTATCATTTGGATTGTATTTTAAGTGTATACATATGAAATCGGTCCTTTGATATCAACAATTGGCGCCAAGTTAAATCCCATTTTTTAAATAATATTTTCATCGATGGTCTCTTTATTCCACAACTCAAGTTATAATAGTTTTATTCCCTTTCAAAAATTATTACATAGAAATCATTATGTCACAAAATAAACTAAACCTAATGATATGTATCATTTGTATAAAAGATTAATATGATTCGTGTGTGTGAAGCTAGCGTCTCACTTGGTGGAAACTCATTAAATATTGAGAGTCCTGAGTTTATTTTCAATAGTTCTATAGTTTTATATAGGATAAATAAATAGTTCCGGCCACTAAAGTCGAGAAAAATTCAAAATGAGATGCCAGGTTCACACAGGGCCAACTCCGTCTAAAAAAGTTTCCAGCCATAGTTTCTTATAGGATTTAAAAAGATACCTAGTTCTACAAAAAGTTCTGACTTAACATTGTTATTTTGATTTTTAAACAATTTTTTTCCCTAAAAGAGATAGTCTTTAGAAGGAACGAAGATGAGACGCTGTCTGATTTCAAAGAGTTCTGTTAGTTTTATGGTACTTTTCGTATAGTTCTGAATGTATCCTAACGTTTTTCGAAGAGTTCCGGTGATATAAATCATTTGTTAATTTTTCAAACAATTTTTATCACTCGAGGAAGGCGCCTTTCAGGGTATATGTGTGAGATACACATTTTTAGTAAAGTGAATGCGTTTATCTTTCGACACTCCGTACAAACTCATCTACATACACACACATGCGATATGACTTAAAGATTTGGGAACCACTGAAACGGTATACGTCACGTGTATACGTGCGTACGGTTAAGATCGGAGAGGGGAGAGTGAGAAATGAAAGGAGGAGAATTGGAAGGGAGGGGGGTGAGCAGGTAGAAAAGCGTATTACTGCTATTACTACTATTATTACTACTACTACTACTGCTACTACTACTGCTGCTGCTATTACCATTACGTGCGTATCTAGAGAAATTCGATGTAATACATGACGTTGAAATTCGCGACGCGTAACGCAGCAAAGGGAAACGAAGTGGGACGACACGAAACAGAACGACACAGCCTGGAACGCGACCTCGAGCGGGGCAGGACCAGTATGTCCGGCAGATCCAAAGAAAATTGGTGACTTGCGCTTTAACGATTCGCCGGCGATGATTAATCGTCTGGCCCAGCGGGTGTAACCGGAAAAGAAAAGGACCTCCAACCATCTTATCCTCTCGTGTGTCTTATAAACTCTCGTTTCAACCCTCGCCTTACTTTCGCTTTACCTTCGTTTCATCTTCCTCTTACCTTTGTTTCACCATCATTTTATCTTTGCTTTACGTTTGTCTTACCTTCGTATTACTTGGTTTTACTTTCGTTTTACCTTCGTCTTACTTTTGTCTTGTAGCGAATTCGGTCACTTGCACTACACTAGATCAGTGGATACTAAAAACTGCTTTACATAACATTAGCAAAGTTAAATGTAAAAGTATATAAATATTTTAAACGATTAACTATCTACTAATGATATTAGGTCTGTTTTCTGTGGCTGAACTAATGTACACTTTTGGAACTTAAAGTGAGATAGATGTATGTTTGATATTTATCGAAAGTGAGAAAGAGAGTTCTAGTGCAGTCTAATGCAGGAACAGAAAACAGACCAATTCACGACCATATCACGTTATTTAACAAAATATATGTGTATCATTTCATTGTCAAAGTTGATTATATTGTATCACTGCATTGAGATATTTTATATAGAGCAGCTTTTAATATGCATTGATCCAGTGTAGTGAGAGTAATCGAATTCACTATTACCTTCATCTTACCTTCTTGTCTTCATTTTACCTTTGCGATGGCATCACGAGGATCACCAAACGGCCCTAACGGCCAGTGGGACTTTAGCCGGGAAGGCCATGGTGAGGGAAGGTGTCTCCCTCTCCCCTTCCTTTCTTCTTTCCATTCTCTGGGCCCGATGGAGTCGCCTCGTCGACTTGTCAGTCGCTTTGCCGTACGCACGAGCGCGTGGTGGTCGCGTCACGCGTGGAATTCCAACGAACGTTATTGGGTGTGGCAGGTGCGAGTGTGCGACGCACTGCGTGCATACATATATCGGTGGTGCATCGTATCGTCGAAAAAAAAAAGTACGCGGATCTCTTCCGCACCTCTTTTTTGTGGAGCGGAAGGACGAGAAGAGGCGCACAAGGGAAACTGTGTTTCATCCATGATGAAAGTGAAAATCGTAAAGGGGGAGGAAAATATTTGGGTACCTCGCTCGGAGTTTCTCATAAAATTAGTAAACAAGTAAGGAAGAAGAATCGCGAGTCGGAATTCACTGGAAAGCAACTTTCGAAACAGGAATTCTTTCTCTACGGAGGTTTTTCGCGCGATAATTCTACGAGATATATTGAGGAAAGCCTTCCTATGCTTTAAAGAATTTTTATCATAATTTTTTATCGTGATTCGTTATTGAAGAAGATTGTTATAATTCACTATTGGAAAAAGCAAAAACTGCAGGCATGCAACCCGATGAATGCCGAAAAGGGACGATTGCGTCTCTACATCAGAGAGATTTCCGTTATCGAGAAGAACATTCTTTGTTGACGATACTCGAGTATGCTTCTCCATTGTCTTCCTTTCGAGAAACATTGTCGACTTTGAGTCGGTAAAAGATATTCTCGATGTAACAGGAACTTTTAAAAATATTCGCAATCACACACATGCGCGCGCGCGCGCGCTCACACACACACACACACACACGCACGCACACGCGCGCACACACACACACACACACACACACACACACACACACATTTTGGAAACATCATCATCAAAAAGTCGTTTTTTCAAGTACAGTATCACCGATTTGGTTTATTCAGTGATGTAAATTCTACGATTATAATCGATCCGGAGAAAATATAAATTTTTTTTTAATTTTTGATGAGAGAAGAGATTGTTTTTACGAGTCATGCATTTCGCTCCTAATGAAAAAAATATGACGAATTGACTTTGCAAATCGACGACGTGTCCTTTGATGCAACAGTGTCTCTTCTAGGCTGAAAGAATGACGGTGTCTGAAGAGTGAGTATCAAACATAGTAGAATATCGTATTTTATTGCACATTATATAAATGTACAGGATGTTTCAAAATTCGCGCCCGCGAAATACAAGACGTGATACTTTATGCTAAAAGAAACTTTTTCCTTTTGCAAAATTGCGTCTGACAACTAATTCTTGCAGGAGAGTAGGTTATACGAATAAACGCAAAAATTATTTATCGAATGTAATTTTACTACAGGAAAAAATTGTTCGTTTTAGCACAAAAAACGACTTTTTCTTTTAGTAAAATTGCGTCCGATAAGTAGTTTTTGTAGGGGAGCAGGTTGAAGTCAACAAATAAGCGCAAAAATTATTTATCAGACGCAATTTTGTTAAAGGAAAAAGTTTGTTTCAGTATAAAGTATCACATCTTGTACTTCGCGGATGCGAATTTTGAAACACCCTG